TTAAGTTTGTAGGGGTTAGTTTTTTTGTTTGTTTTTTGGATTTTTACTTTTATTTATTTATTTATTTATTTATTTATTTATTTATTTATTTATTTATTTGGTGGGAAGCAGGGAAAGGTAGCTGTCTGGTCGCTGGGACTCCGATGGGTAGGGCCTAGGGGCTAGAGACCTGATCTGTTGGTCTGGAGATGGGAGCTTACCTGTTCTCAGTCGGTGAAGTGTATACTTATGATTCTGGTGATCTGGTTCAGTGGCTGGGCAGCTCCTTCTTCTGTGTTCTCAGGTCATGTTTTGCTCATTTGTCAACTCCTCAACTGATCTTGTTTCTGTTATGCCCAGATAAAGACCCCCAAAGAGACCACCAGGAGACCAGATATATCCAGAATGCAATAGCAAGGTTTACTTCTTGACGCAATACGAGCTAGCAAGGAACCCTCATCCGCAGGGCCTGGCGCAGTGAGGAAGGGAGGAGAGTTCCTCTTTCTTGGGGAGATTAGCTTTTGAAGGCAAAAACCACAAAATTCTTCAGAGGAGGGGTTTAGTACGGGTTCACCCTTGATTGGTCCAGTTTTCCTGAGTTTGGACTTTTATCTTATATTTTGCTCTGTCAGGAGTTTTACAGCCCATCTCCAAAATTTGGTCATATTATCCATATTATCTCAGGGGAGGGGGGCGTCTCGTGGTTAGCTACCACCAGACAGTCTGATTTTGTACTTTTAAAACTTCTGACTTCACCCTGCATGGAAATGGGAACTGACTTGGTTCTGGATATTTTAAGATGTCCCTTTCCTCAGCTCTCCCGGCCTTAGGGGGAACTGGGGTGGGGGTCTCTCAGTTTCCTCAGACTTCAAACTGTAGGATTCTGAATCCTCTCCCGGATGGATTTCAGCTGAGCAGGGTAGTCTCACCAACACCTCCAAGTTGTTGAGTTTCCCAGGATCAGCAGCTGGGCCCTGGGTTGGCCTCAGAGCTATTTCTTGACTCTTTATAGGCAGGGTCTCACTGTGTAGCCCTGGCTGGCCTGGAACTATGTAAACCAGGCTGGCCTCAAATTCACAGAAATCCGCCTGCCTCTGCCTCCTGAGTGCTGGGATTAAAGGTATGCACCACCGTGCCCCATGTTTTTTCTTTAGCAGTAATCCTCCAGCCTCAGCCTTCCAAGTGAACAGACAAGCCTAGCTTTAGTTCACCAAGTCATGGGCAATGAATATGACACTAAAATGGTGTAACACTGCATTCTGTGAGTCGGAGGAGGTGATAAAGGGCGTGTGCCCTTGAACTTGGAGTAAGGGAGGAGGCAACCCTGGAAGACTGAGGAGGTGATTTTAGACAAAAGCATTTGCTGGTGTCGTTAACATTAAGCAGAACATACACGGTTTTTCTGTCTCAAAGTGCTAGCAGGATGCAACTACCTGAATAGGCTCGAAGAGCTGGACACGGAGGACCATCCACGGGTTTTCATCAGGCTGGGCGGACTGGGAGCGGTCCCCCCCTGAGAACCCCTTGGGTACCTGCTGGGCTCGGTGCAGACACGCTGCCTTTCCTCCCCAGCTGCCGGCCATCAGGGCTCTGCCTCGGCTGCGCCCACCTCCCGGCCCTACAGCACGGGCTCGGCCGCCACCCGCAGGCGCCCTTCGGCCATCCTCATTGCCCGGGAGCTGCTCCGCACTCAGGGCCTGGCCGGTCTCTACAGGGGGCTGGGTGCTACTCTCCTCAGGTGAGGCCTCTTCCCGGGCCCGGCCCCTAAGTCTCATCTAGGGACCTGCCTGCCTTACTCATCTTACCAACTGCTCTCCCTCTGGGAGGTGCCTCTGCGGGCTACAGAGCTGGGGTGGGGGGTGGGGTGGGAGCAGGACGCGGGAAGAACGTCCTCCCTGTCCAATGGGGGCGTTTCTCCCATCTGGCTGCTGAGGGGCACCCAGAGGGTCGGCTTCCCCTCCCACAGGGACATTCCCTTCTCGGTCATCTACTTCCCCTTGTTTGCGAACTTGAACCAGCTGGGGGTCTGCGAGCTCACGGGCAAGGCTCCCTTCGCACACTCCTTCGTGGCGGGCTGCGCCGCGGGTTCCGTGGCCGCCGTAGCGGTCACCCCTCTGGACGGTAGGTGTGGAGAGGGCCGGGGTTCGGGGTTTCGGGTCATCCTGCTTTCCGGATGGATCAGGCTCACAGAGTCTAAGCACAGGCAGACCTTGCACTAGCGGGTCAAACAGCCCAGTGCCCAACCCCCTCGGCATTTCGGCTAAGGCTGACCGCCCCAGGGGCCCTCACAGAGGTGGCCAGATGTTCTCACTGTCCCCTGCCACCAGTGCCTCACCTTCCACAGGAAGTACTTTTCCTTCCCGGGAGTGCTCCCGTGTGCTCGGGGCCACACACAGCCCCCTCACAGGCAAGCAGCAACACTTCTCCCACTAAGGGGGAGGCAGAGAAGGCCGCTCACCCCACGGCCCCGGATCTGGTCCCACGGGGGAAACCCACAGGTTTGCACAAAGGAAAAGTTCAGGGTTTGTTACTTGCTTTAACTTCTGCTTCATCCAGTTCTGAAGACTCGAATCCAGACCCTGAAGAAAGCGCCGGGCGAGGACATGTACAGCGGGGTTACTGACTGTGCCAGGTGAGCCCGGCACCCCAGACGCCATGTCAGCTCAAGGCCAGTTCACCGCGGGGCTTGGAGCTGCCTTGGGGTGTGCTGGCCCCTCACTTCTCAGAGGATGCAGTATTGGGAGTTTCCCGACTCTTCCACGAGTCTCTATGCTTCTCCCCACTCCTTACCACAGTCCAGACGGTTCGGAATTGCTCAAGTCCCTCTCACCACAGCCCTCGATACCAAGGAAGGGGCACACATACTCGGCCAGGAGGGGTTTAATGGCTCGTCTTTGGCCTAGCACCTGAGAGGTGAAGGAGGGAACACAGGTCGACCGAAACTACTCCGAGGTCTTGTCTTAAAAAAGGTTTGAGGTGGTAGCTCATTTGTAATCCTATATAATCCTACACTCAGGAGGCTGAGGTCAGCCCAGGACTAGCCTGGGCTATCTCTAGAGACCTTCTCCCCAAATCCAACAACAAAAACAAGGTAAAGCTTGGAGAAAAGTCCTGAGAAAGCATGCTCTTAGCCTTCAACTACCAGGGCTCTCCTTTCTTCACAGGAAACTCTGGACACAGGAGGGAGCAGCCGCCTTCATGAAGGGAGCAGGCTGCCGGGCCCTGGTCATAGCCCCCCTCTTTGGGATCGCCCAGGGCGTCTACTTCATTGGCATCGGAGAACGCATCTTAAAGTGCTTTGAGTAATCTATGGTGGCCGTCCCTTGCTGCCATCTCTGGCCCCACACTTGAGACCAGGTGGTAGTGACGGAAGCCCAAGATGCCTACCCTGTTGCACATCATCTAACTTGTAGTGCTACCTCAGAAGAAATGACCCATTTCACTACTTACCAGGGGCGTTCAGAAGCCCAACCACCTGCTTAACAATAGAAACGGCCTCAGGTATTATGGCAGGCGCAGTAAGGACGGAAGGGCTGGTCTACACCAGCATCCCCCCTGTAGGCAGGTGCAGGACAACTGTGCCAGCGTAGGACAGTGGTCATCAACCCCAGCACTCACACGGTGACGTTAGAAGTAGACCTGGCCTGAACCATGTGCCCTCCTGAGCATCACTAATGGTCAAATGGACCCAACCGAGCAGTATGGCCACCTCAGGGTCGCTGTCCTGCCCCAGATGCCCACCCTGAAGTATGGTCCCAGATCCCTCCTAGTGGGTGCTTGTGGGACATGCTCTAGAATAAAGCTGGTTAAATCCTTGTCCTGTAATCAGCACAGCAGATGACTGACAAGGAATGTCTCCTGAAGAACCAAGCTGTGGCTTCTGGGGCCCCGCTCCTGACTGTTGCCCAGCGGTGGAGAATAGCTGGGGACATTTTCACACTGGACCTCAGTGTGTGTGTGTGTGTGTGTGTGTGTGTGTGTGTGTGTGTGTGTGTGTGTGTGTGCGTGTGCGTGCGCGCGCGCACGCGCGTGCGCATACCCTGGGAGCCAGAAGAGAGCGCTGGATGCCCTGAAGCTCAGGTTACAAGCCGTTGTGAGCTGCCAGACCGGCAGGAACTCAGGTCCTCTGGAAGCAGCAGGACTCACAACCACTGAGCTGTTTCTCCAGCTCTGACTCTTGAGTCTTGTCTGCTACCCATCACTTTATAACCATGTTACACTAAGAACTCCAAGTCTCATGGGCCTCAGTTCCTTCCTCCACAGCCCGCTATAGGGAAGTGGGATAATACCACCAGATTACATCAGGTCCTAAGAAAACGATCCTGGGGTTTTGGTTTTGGTATTTCAAGATAAGGTTTCTGTTTAATAGCCCTGGCTGGCCTTGAACACATAGAGAGATGCCTCCCTCTGCCTCCCGAGTGCTGGGATCAAAGGCGTGTGCCACCACTGCCCGGCTAACAATCCTGTTTTAAGAACAGGAACTGGGGCTGGGACACAGCTCAGTTGGTGGAGAGCTTGCATGGTTCCATCCCCAGCACCTCTATCCCCAGCATGGTGGTACCCACCGGTCATCTCAGCACCTAGGAGGTGGAGGCAGGAGGGTAGGAAACTGAGGGTCCTCGGCTGCCAATAACCAAGTTCTAGGCCAGCCTAGACTGCATAAAACGAAACTGCCCAGAAAACCAAAACACAAACTGAAAAGTCATAAGGAAGTAGGGTTGCCTTGCCTCCCATTAAGAGGCAGAATCCGTGCACAATAATTACAAGACAGAACGAGGAGTCCGCGTCACCGGTTGTTCCGCTGTTCCTGCTGGGGGTCCAGCTCTCTGCTGGCACCGCCACCACTTCTTGTTCCCAAGGGGAATGGGGAACCTGAATCAAGCCACCAACCTCGACTGTTCCCAGGGCTGCTGGCAGTCCGTCCTCCCCACCACCTTCGGGCCCACCTTTTATTCCGGTTATGTACTCGTCAATAACTCCGTCCTTTGGGCCAAACCACTCCTTACAATTGGCTAGTGGAGCAGAGACAATTCCCATCACAGAAAAGAACCTACGTAGTCCCACCTAACTTAAAATCTGGTCCTGGGGGCGGGCGGATGTGTATGCAAATAACCATCTGAATGGTTTCTCTCTGTTAAGACAATCAAAACCCCACCAGAGACAACAACTCTGTGCATTCACCTAAGGACAAGGGAAAGCATGGATGGTGGCCGTGGAAGGATCGGCACTAACACAAAGCTCCTCCCTCCCAAACTTGGGCTTTTTTCACTTTGTCCAAATAAAACTGTTCCAAACTAGATGCATGGACCGTAGTTTTGGGGTATGGCTCAGTGTAAAGCCTATGCTTACCATGTGAGGCTCGGGACCTACCCCCAGTACATGCGCACACACAAGGCTGTCCAGACTCGGGGACAGGTATACTGCACGTGTGTGCGGTGTCCATGTGGTCACAGGGCTGCAGGAAGGTCT